TGCAGATTTTACATTCATGGAATAAGTTTGCTTACCTGGCAAAGATGAATTCATGCAACTCCAAATTTCAACCTGAAATTGTAATGACTAAATGTTTTTATGCAAATAACTAGCTTCTATGCATGATAATTTCCACATGATAAATTCCTGGGCCCCTTGAACCCCCATAGTGGAAGCTCCTGCACACACTACAGTCTAATCTCAATGCACCACCAGCCATGGTGCACACACATGCATATGCACATGCACGCACACACACAAAATATGAAAAATAAGTAAGCTGAGAATGAGAACTACTGCATATTCTTTTCTCTTTTTCCCACTTAAAAGTTCTAAGAGTGAGCCAAGGTACTCAGGTTATTTACTAACATTACTTTTTCCAAGTGCACAGAAAGTGTCTGATGGGCAACTTAAGGAAAAGAAGTCAGAACTGTTTGAGCACCATCGTCCTCTTCCTCCTTCCATACAACAGAGGCCACTGTATCTGAAGAAGTTCTCTTATGCACACCCGGGCTCTCTGGACCTGGCCCACACACATTCCAAACAATGAAACCCACCCAAATTCCGGAGACACGTCAGACTTCCTGATTTGGACTTCAAGCAGAGTATCAATAACAATGTGCCAGAAATGGAGCGTTAGAAAGAAATAAGCCACATATTTTCCCTCATCTCAAGTTCAACTTTCCAAATCCAAATAAATGTAAGATTTAGTTATTATAGTCTTCATAAAGTTAGTCAAATCAGTGATAAAATTCTAAATTCTAGATGAAATACTACAGTGAAATTTAAATACATTATATTTAAGACTATTCATATACATAGGCCTTAAAATAGAAGCTAAAAGGTGAAAGACACTAACTTATTTACCAATTTGTAAAAAGATTTTTAAAAAGTTAGGTTTAAGTTTTTATTGTGATCACACACTCCAAGCACACAGAAGAAGTTTGATGAATCTGAAAGTAACTCCTGAGATGCCTCTGTGTGTGCAAAGCTTCCGCGGATCCGAAAGACTTACCATTGTTTCTGGGCAATAATCTGGGGCTCTCTGCAACAGATGTTTCAGTCGGGATTCACTTTCTGAGGAGAAAATCTATTTGACAAAAAGAAAACAAGCCAAAAATCTTTGAGACATTTTTGTTTTAAAGGAAGAGGGGATAAAAGTTGCATCCTCTAGATGAACCAGTTTCCCAGAATGCTTTTCTTTTATAAGAGGAACCTTTGGAGGGCTCCAAATCAAGGTCCGATTTGCTTTACACACTTGGTCTTATTATATAGCCCAGGCTGTATGAATTCAGCATCCTCCTGCCTCAGCCTTCAGAATGCCAGTATTACACACAGCTTCTAAGGGAACATTTCTTATAACATTATTAGGGAAACAACCAAGGAAGTCCAATTACATGAGTAATCTTTCTATTAACTGGAAGTGGAAGAAAGCAAGCTATAACCTACCAGGGTAGTAATGAAAGACAGAGAAGGAAAGAGAAAAGGATGAAGATAGCTATTTTAACTGTTCTATCAGTTGTTTTTAATGAGCTGATGGTGATTTCAAAATAAACTCTGTTTATTTTACCCTTGATGCTTGAAATCAGTTAAGCACCGGCATAAGCTTACAGACAACGTCATCTCTGAATGCATATGCTGAAGAGCTGGCGAGGTTCACTTAGACAATTATCAGCAATGACTATTAAATATCATAGAAAGGGACAGCTAGATCTATTATCATTCATGGGGAAGACTTGCCAAACAAGACAACCAAAAAATCTTCCAGTCTGATCAAGTGTCTGGCTTTATCTCAAAAAGCAAATGTAAATCAAATCTGTCTATTCAACTTAAATGTATACCAAGTGAAATTAAATAAACATAGCCAAGTATGGGGGCACATACCTGTAATCCCAGCACTTGGACCAGGCCACACTGACCACACACACACACAATGTACCCCAAGCCCTGTGTGTGTCTCTGTGTGTTTTCATCCTTTCAGTTCTGTTCCTCAGAGAACCCTGATAATACAAGGTACTAAACATCCCCTTGATGGTTCTGCTCTAAATCAAATGACTGATTACTAAGAAGCACCAATAAGACATTAAATGATACCAGAGAGATTTGAACAATGAAGTTTAAATTATGGGAAACTCAACAGGATAAATGACTGAATTTATTCATCAAAGCAATTCCAAGAAAGCCATAGATCAGCCAAGGATGGTGGCTTATACCTGTAATCCCAACACTAAGAAGGCTGAGGCAGGATGACTGTGGAATTCATGGGCAGCCTGGGCTACATGGTAAGTTCTAGGCCAGCCTGAGCTACAATGTGAACCCTGTGGTTAAGAGCCTTTGATGCTCTGCAGAGGACCCGAGTTTAGTTCCCAGCATCCACATTAGGTGGCTTACAACATCCCTTAACTTAAGCTCCAGGGGGATCTGGTGCCTGTTCCCAGACTCCACAGGCCACTGTGGTCATAAGCATATACCCATATACACAAACACATCATTTTAAAATTCCTGTGCTCATAAG